GTAATGCTAGGCTAATAATTGGTTTAAGAACACATAACGTTTTCAAAAAACGGATATCATGGTTAGTAGAGGCCGATCTTCAGATCGGGCGAGAGGGTGCTCATAGCTGACCTTCCCCAATCGTACCCAAGTTCCGAGCCGAGGCAACTTTGGTGATGACGGACACGTGGCCTTTGGCACCGAGTCAGGTTCCTAAATTCCCCAAAATAAAATATTTAGGTGGCGACTCTGTATCTGGCAAAGCAGTCCATGTTTGGCACTTCTTTCAAAAAATCTGTTTTCTCAAGACGATTTGCCAGATTTGGACTCTTTGGTTCAGATTAAGAACCGTGACACGAATCGAGTCCGAACTGTAGCGGGGCCCACGGGCGCGTCTACACAACCGCCCGCAATGCGATTTGCGGTTTGTGCGGATAGGGTTCGCGGTTGAGCGAGCGGTTGCAGGTGGTTTGCGGATTGAACTTTTTTCCAAAATTATTTTTAAACCCCTTTTTTTTCCTCCCATTTTGTCAATCTTTATTTTGAAAATTTTTCCTCATATTTTATAAAATGCTCCAACATTAATAATTAATGAATTAAAACTTATAAAAAAACTTACAAAATAAAAAACACAACAAATTCAATTCGAAACCTAAACAAATCACTCAAAATCTACATTCATTATTAACTTACATTCATCCTACATTCATCATTCATAACCCAAATAAAAAAAATCCTACATTGAAAATGATACATTCATCATTCCTAGCCCAAATACAAAAAAAAAAAGAAAAAAGAAAATAATTCTTCATTAACTTACATTCATCCAAAGTGCAAAAAAAAAAATAAAAATTCATTAACTTATATTCATCCAAAACCAAAATGCAATAAAAAAAAAAATTGTTGTTAAACTTCATTCAATACAAACCCATGAAATAAAATAAAAACATTTCAATTTCAATCCTTCATTCACATGTTGTCAAACTTCATTCACATCCAATCCAACTTTCACGAATTCGAATTCGAATTCCAATTTCATGCATTTGGTTGATGAACCCTACACAAAAACAAATTGAAAAAATATAAACTTTAATCTTCAATTATAGTAAAAAATGAAAAGATAAACAAATGTCTATATATTTCAACTCAATATAGTAAGAAAATGTGTTGAGTATATGAAAAAATTACCAATGATCAAATGGATATTAGAGATCAATTATAGCATCAACATTATAGGTTGAAGTTGAAGATGAGCTTGACTCCAAAGTACCTAATTAGGAATCAACAAGAGAAGATTAATAAAAATTACATTAGAAAATGAACAATACAAATAAAAATGAAGATAAATAAATTCTCATTTACCCGAGTCATATTGCTCAAATTCCTCCACGCCATCCATCGCCTTTTGAAGAGAAATTGGAAGATTGCTTCGAAGCCAATTTTGAGTACATACAAGAGCTTCAACCATAGAAGATGAGAGTGAACTACGAAATGGGTCAAGAATACGCCCTCCCATACTAAAAGTCGACTCCGATGCAACGGTAGAAATAGGCATGGCCAACACATCCCTTGCAAGTTGTGATAACACCCTATATTTAGTTGCATTCACCTTCCAATAATCCAAAATCTCAAATGTTTGATTCTTTGCAAAATGTTCAACCTCGGATAAATATTGTTCCAATTCTGACTTAGATCCACTAGTGCATCGCCCCTCCAAATAGGAATTAAATTGGGAGTCAACTAAAGAATAGGGATCATCATCATCATCATCTTCCACCATATTCACAACTTCACTCACACTTGGAAGTTTCTCATTTGAAGGATAAAGTGTGACATAATGGCTATACAAACGACTCAAACAACTCTTAACTTTGTCTACCATCTCTTCCACCTTCCTATTATCTCCAAGAAATAAATTGGAAAAACAAAACTCCAAGTATCTCATTTTTTTGGTAGGATCAAGAACCACTGCAACATACAACAACAAATTGATTTTACTTCCATCCTCCAAATACTTGCTAAACTTTAGCTTCATAGTCTTTGCCATTGAGCTCAAAGTATCATCCTCCTCCAAAATTAATTGGTTAATTTTGCTTTCAATAACAAACATCTCTTTGTAAAAAGCATTGGAAGTAACAAAAAGAGACCCCGAAAATTTCTTAGTTACAACATAAAATAATTTTAAAAACCTCAAAAAAATTCTACACTTTTTCCAATCCAATTCATTCGAACTTCTTCTTATGCCACCATTAACATCCATGAAATAAGGTTCAAAGTTGGAATCTACAAACTTCAATCGATTAAAAGCCTTCTCATACTTTTCGGCGGCCTCTAACATCAAATAGGTAGAGTTCCACCTCGTTGGTACATCTAGGCATACAAGAGCTTGTAAATCAAGTTTGAGTGTGGCCGCACATTTCTTAAAAACATCATGCCTTTGAGGAGAAGACCTCGCATATCTCACCGCAAGTCTAATGTTGGCAATAGAATCATCCATTTCTTTCAACCCATCACTCACAACGAGATTAAGAATATGTGCACAACAACGCATATGAATAAACTCATGTTGCAAAATAGTCCCCTTCCAATCTTTGGTTATCGTTTTCAAATATTGAATGGTAAGATTATTAGAACTAGCATTATCAACTGTTAAGGTGAATATGCTATCAATGTTCCACTCAATCAAACACGACTCAATTTTTCGACCCAATGTTTCTCCTTTGTGATCCTCAACTTGTTGAAAATTTATGATTCTTTTTTGAAGTTTCCAATTATCATCAATGAAATGAGCAGTCAAACACATATAACACAAATTCTGAATAGATGTCCAAGTATCCGTAGTAAAGCAAATTCTACGACCCTTCATGGCCTTCTTTAACTTATCCCTTTCATTCTTGAATATGTTGAGCACTTCTCTAGATATGGTTTGACGAGAGGGAATTGGTGTGAATTTGGGTTGCATGACATTACAAAATCTTCTAAACCCAACACCCTCCACAAATCTAAATGGTAACTCATCAATGACCACCATCTCCGCAAGAGCCCTTTTACAAGTATCAAAATTAAAAATTGTTGCTACAACCTCAACACCCTCTTCATTTTGTTTCGGTTTAAGATTTAGTGTTTGTTGACCATCTGTATCCCTATTTGGATATTCTTTACAATTGGGTGTATGACTCCTCAAATTGCTAGTCCCATGAAGTCTAGAGTCAGCCATATACTCTTTCTTACAATATTGTTAACATTCACATTGATAAGAGTATAAAATTCAGTTTCTGATTAAAATTCCCTAAAACTCAATCTACATGTAAATCACAAATTAGTGTTACAAATAAAACTCATAAATAGAATAAGCCCAAAAAATCAGTGATAGTATACAAAAACAGTCACAGATTAATTCAACAGATTTAATCAAAAATTAATTCAACAGATTTAATCAAACTGCATTAATCTGTCACAGTCACTAGTTTTTTATTAAAATTCAGTTTCTGATTAAAATTCCCTAAAACTCAATCTACATGTAAATCACAAATTAGTGTTACAAATAAAACTCATAAATAGAATAAGCCCAAAAAATCAGTGATAGTATACAAAAACAGTCACAGATTAATTCAACAGATTTAATCAAAAATTAATTCCAAAAAACAAATTTATTTTTCATAATAGATTGAATTCCAAAAAAAACATCTGATTCAAATTCAATACAGATTGAACACATTTTATGAACAAAAAGAGGGGCTTTACCTGATTTCAAACAGATTTATAACAAATAGATTTATGAACTGATTTCAGAGAGTAAGAGACATTCCAAACAGATAAACAAAAATTAAATAACAAATTAAACAGATTTATGAACTGATTTCAATACAGATAAATTACACAGACAGATTTAAATAAAAAAATCTGTTGCTTAAATAAAAAATTAAATCAAAGATACATTCCAAACAAACAAACACAGACAGAGATCGAGGCGAGAAAAAGAGAGAGAGAGAGAGGGGCTTACCTGTGAGAGAGAGTCGATCGGTGTAGATGCAAAACCAGAGAGTAAGAGACTGTGAGATGAGAGAGTGAGGGAGATGAGATAGTGAGGGAGACAGATCAGAGAGAGACAGATCTCATATGTTAAAAAAAAACACCAAAGATTGGGGAGAGAGAGACATAGACAGAGATCAGAGAGAGGCTTTACTTGTGTGCGATGAGGTCGATCTTGTGAGAGAGAGACCCGAACACCGAGTGCGCAGATGAAAATCGCGAGTGAGAGAGAGAGAGAGAGACCGAGAGGAGGAGAGGAGTAGGAGATACAGATGTGATGAGTGAGTGAGTGAGTGCGACTTAGATTAGGGTTTTTCTTATTTTGAACGATCAGATTTGAAGGGGAAAAAAAGAGGTTATTTTGAACGGTCAGATCAGATTTAAAAAAAAAAAAAGAAAAGAAAAGAGTTTTATGCGGGCCGGGTTGGGCGGGGGCGGGTCAAACCCGCAACCCGCCCGCAACCCGAAATTTACATAAAATCCAAACCGCACCCTACCCTAATGTGTTTGCGAAACCGCCCATACATGCACGGTTCGGATCGGGTAGGGCGGTTTGGGCGGTTCGGATGACCCTATGCCCAGCCCTAATCACATCTTTTTTTTCAACAAATGTTACTCGTTTTTTTTTAAATGAAAAAATATATATTATTAGTTATCCAACAATATGAAACTTTACACTCATTATCTCAACAATCGAGATACTTAGGCTATGTTTGATTTGGATTTGTAGAGTGATTTTAGAAAAATAAAAATAAAAAATTTGTTTGGTTTGTAAATTTTCCAAAATCACTTTCTCTCTTTTACCTATCAATCAATCAATCAATTTTTCTCTCTTCTCTCTCATCTCTCCTTCTCAATCACTTTTTCTCTCATACATGTCTACTCAATTATAATAAAATATCAAATCATTCCAAACTCTTAAACTTCAAAATGACTTTCTTTTTTTTTTTTTTAGGTACATCGAAAACAAAAACAGAGCAAAACAAGGCCTAAGCCCTTTCCCTAGGAGTTCTAACCATGTCTGCAACAAGCAGACTCCTTAACTCAGCTGGTGGCTCATTAACCACCAGCATGTCCTCAAGTTGCTCAGCTCCAAACTTGGCAAGAGCATCAACACATAGGTTGCCCTCCTTGAACACATGTTGTACCGTGCACTCACAACCTTGCATGATGATCTTGGCATCTTCAAGAAGTCCTTTGAAAGGAGAATTTGCCTCAATCTCCTCCTCCAAGAGCTTCACAGCTTGCATGGCATCTGTTTCAATAATAACTTTGTTTCATCCTCTCTGTAGAAGCACTGTGAGACCTTCATAAATGGCCCATAATTCAACTTAAAGGCCGGTCCCAGTATGTAATCTGCCATAATACCTACACAACCATGTTCCAGCTTCATCTTTAAATAAGCCATCAAACCCTTCATTTCCACCTAGCTGCTTACAACCATCTGTGTTGAGCTTAATGGTACCTGTAGGGGGAAGGCACCACATAACTAGTTTAAAAGCTGGTCTAGCACTTACAATATTCATATTAAAAACCTGGTTGATTTCCTTGGTATAAGACAAGATATACTTCACACTTTCTTGGCTGGTAGTTGACAGATGGTCAAAAACTTTTGAATTTCTATTTTTCCAAATTTTCCAAAGGCAAACAACAAACACAGAATACCAGCAGAAAAGATCACTAAAATGTTTTTTATTTCTAGAATTAAAGATAATCCAATCCAGCCAAGGGGTTTGAAGCACATCCATATACCATTTCCTACCAAACATAACTAGCCAAACAGCTTTGGCTTTGTAGCAGGTTCTAAAAAGGTGATTCAAATCTTCTACTTCACTGCAACTAGGGCATCTGGGATCAAAACTGAGCCCCATTTTTTCTCTCATTTGGTTAGTTAAGAGCTTGCCATGAAAAGCAGTCCACAGAAAACTTTTCAGTTTCTAGGGAAGTCTCAACTTCCAAAGCCAATTCTAGTCCACCTCTAGTCCCATACTCCCAGCCAAAATATTATAAGCACTAGAGGTAGAAAAACGTCCATCAATAGAACCCCTCCAAGTAGGTACATCAATGGAAGAGAGCTGTGGTGAAGGTAAATTAATAACCAGAGTTGAAACACAAGAAGGGATGTCAAGTAGCTTCACAGCATCCCAGTGACCCTGATCACTGAGAAAGTCATTTACTTTAACACCATTAGTCTCATTGACATAAGATTGAAGTGTGTTGAGAACAATCTCCACAACAGGCTTGTTACCACACCACCAATCTTTCCAGAAATCCACAGTTCTGCCATAACCAATCTCTCATTTTACACCTTTCCTTAAGGTGTTTCTGATTTTCAAAATGCCCCTTCAAACATGAGAGGTAGATCTATTTCTAGACCCCTTATACAAATTAGATGACGTAAGATATTTACTCTTAAGAACATCTTTCCATAAGGCTTCCTCCTCACAAATCCATTTCCAACTCAACTTTACAAGAAGAACTAGATTTTGATTCCTAGCTTTCCTGATCCCAAGACCACCAAGTTTCTTAGGTTTGCAAACATCATCCCATTTGACTAGATGAATTCTTTTCTTTCCCAAGGTGTCACCCCACAGAAAATTCATGTTCAGTCTATCAATCTCATTGCACACTTTTATAGGCAATTCCATAGTCTGCGTTGTATATGCAGGTAATACAAAGCTAACAGACTGGATCAGAGTTGCTCTTCCAGCTAAGGAAACAACACTAGTTTTCCAGCCAGCTAATTTCCTTTGCATCTTTTCCAGGATGGTATTAAAATGACCTTTATTCACTCTACCATGAATAAGAGGAACTCCAAGGTATTTCCCTAACTCAAAAGTCAAGGGAATACCACAATTAGTGCTCAATTCTCTAGTGTTTCTCCTATCAATATTAGGGGAAACAAACAATTTGGACTTGTGGGCATTAATTTTCAAACCAAAAATCTCAAAAAATTCATTCATAACAGTCATAATTGTATCACAGTTAGATATATCAGCCTTAGCAAAAAGCATTAGATCATCAGCAAATAATAAGTGGGTCAGGCATGGTCCTCCCCTAGCAACATGTATGCCCTTCCACTCCTTATTCTCAACTTTAGTTCTAATCATATTGGAGAGTCGTTCCAAGCACAACACAAATAAGTAAGGAGAAAAGGGATCCCCCTGTCTAAGCCCTCTTCTAGGCTTAAACTCTTGAAGACGTTCACCATTCCATATGATAGTAGTTGTCACAGAAGTCACACAGCACATCACAAGCTCAATAAAGCTATTTTTAAAATTCAGCTCTCTTAAAGTTTACTCCAGGAACTCCTCCCAAGAGATGTTGTCATAAGCTTTCTCAAGATCAATTTTAAAAATCATGCCCCCAACTTTCCCTTTCTTATGGTTTAAGGTATGGATAGTTTCTTGGGTTATAATTATGTTGTCACTAGTGGATCGACCAGGAACAAAACTACACTGGTTAGGACTGACAATTTTGCCTAAGAGAGGTCTGATTCTCCCAACAATAATTTTGGAAATAATCTTGTAAGACATATTACAAAGACTTATGGGTCTAAACTGTTTGATAGTTTCAGGATTCTCCAGCTTAGGGACAAGGGCAATAAGGGTTCTATTGATCTGAGGTGGAATGCAGTTATTAGCAAAGCAGTGTTTAACAAAATCACAAACAGAAATGCAGATAGTTTTCCAATAATTATGATAGAAAACAGCTTGAGAGCCATCTTTACCAAGGGCTTTGAAGCCCTTAATATTTTTCACAGCCTTCCAGATTTCTTTACTATCAATCACGTTAGTGAGCTCATCATTCTCCTCTTGAGTGATCAAATGGGGAGTAATATTATTCCAATGGTCAAGAGAAATCGTTGGTGTATACTCAAACAAATTCACAAAATAATCCATAATCATGTTTTTTAGGTTATCCACATTATCAATCCACGTGCCCCTCTCATTCTTGAGTTTTACTATTTTACATTTCCTCCTTTTGGTCAAGGTAGAAAGATGGAAGAACTTGGTATTTCTGTCCCCCTGGGTAATCCAGTTGGACCTGGATTTCTGAAGCCATAATAATTCCTCTTGGTAGAGGACTTTATTATATTGCTCAATAAGGTTCATCTCTAGGAGATGGAGGTTATGGGAGTATTTATGGATTTGAGATTTTTGGATCCCCTCAATCCTCCCCAATAGCCATCTCTTATTTCTAAAAATGTTTCCAAACATCTCTTTATTCCACACAGTAGCATTGAGAGGTAGATTCTCAAGCTTATCAACAAGAGAATGAGGGGAATCTTCCCAGTTACTTTCCACCACAGACAAAAATTCCTCATGCGAAATCCAAGCTGCAATAAATTTGAAGGGTTTGGGAGAAGGGTTAGTGGGGGACTTACCTTGGGTGAAAATCATCATCGGAGTCTGAATAAGTTCAGGGTAGATTTTGAACCAATCCTTCAGGGAAAGTGGTTCGCCATTCAGTATTACACATAGCTCAATCCAGTCTCACCATAGTATTAGCCTATCCTTGTCTGTTGTTTGTCCAGGTCAATCTTGGTCCTGTACATCCCAAGTCCATTAGATTGCTGCTGTTCATTCTATCTACGAACTTCCTACTTCTTCTTTGGTCCTGACTCTGGCTTTGACTCTGAGTCCCAGATAAGCTTCTTTTTTTCTGACTGAGTGGCAAAGTCATTGAAGTCACCTGCTACAAGCCACGGCTCATCCATGGTTTGAGAAAGAGTCTTCAAGTCTTGCCAAAGTTCATTCCTCTTACTGTTGTTGGGGCTGGCATAGACGGAAGAAATAACCCAATCACTATAGTTTTGTCTAGAAATCCTAGCAGTTATTAACTGGGAGCTGGCCTCAGTGACTCTCACATTCACAGTGCTAGGATCCCAAATCATCCAGATTCCCACACTCCTTCCAATAGGGTCCACATGGGCAGAAGTAGTGAACCCCATTTGGTTGAAAAATATTCCCGTGGAACTAAACTCCACTTTGGTCTCCAGAAGAACTACTAAATTTGGTTTATGAATCTGAACTAGCTCTCTCATATTTCTCTTAAATCTCTTGTTTCCAACTCCTCTGTAATTCCAAAACAACAAATCCATACTTACTTGATCATATTGGGGAAGAGGGGTCTGTTCTGATAAGCTCAGAATGCCCCTTGCTCTGCTATGATTGTCTTCCATCGACAGTGAGGGGGGTTATTGACGCATAGTGCATGTCCTGCCCTACTTCTATCTGTCTCCATGGTTGGATCCTCATGCGTACTTCCTCTATCCACCAATCTACGGTGACGAGGTGAAACACTTCTCTCCCTGGTGTGAGCATCATCTATACTCTACTCTGAACCAACCTGTGGTGCACCATTGGATAATTCTCGCCTTCCTCTTCCTCCATTTTTGTCCGGTGGTTTCCTGGATCTGGATCGAGATCTAACTTCCCTACTTGCGGTGGAAATGGTAGAAATGGTATGGGTAGAGTCAGATGGGTTGGTAGGGGTGATAGGTGAAGGGTTATTAGGAGGGATGAAAGCTACTATATTAGACGTAAGGTTAAGTAAAGGTGTGGCAGTGTCAGTACTCACCTCAGAGCCATGGCTACGTGTGCTGACCTCAATTATTTCTTTCTTGCCCCAGCTGGTTTATTCTCTATTCGTGAGCTTAGCTTTTCCAGCTTTACTTTCACCTTTATCTGGTGGACTCTCTCCGTTTCCCCTGCTATCATACAAGCCTTTATTTTTTTTCCTTATATCTAAAGCCCTGTTCTTGTTGGGCCAGGCTCATTGGTTCCTTATTCTTCCCACCATGGACCTTATGGACCGCAGAAAGATTTACTTCCTCTTACAGACTACTAAACCTATTTCTTTGTTGGATAGTGTTACCTTTTTGAGGCCTAGGGCCCTTCATATGTCTTTTTTAATTATTAACCTTCATCCATGGCCCATATCTAATTTGGCTTGGTTCAACCATTTCAGTATCCCTGGTAATACCCAGCCCAATCTGAGCTTCATCTTCTTTACCCTGGTTTCCTTCTCCGACAGCATCATGCCGCTATTTATCTGCCTCCTTCATTGGGATTTTAGTGCAAACGTGCTTCACATGTCCTACCCTGCCACAAGAGAAACAAACAGAATGTAAATGTTCATATTCTATAATATAAGTATTTTTACCAATACAGAATTGGGAGACGAAGGGCTTTCGTAGATCTATTTCAACACAGACTCTCGCATATTTTCCTCTAGATGCCATAGCTGTGTTAATGTCAACCTTCAATGGGACTCCTAGGACCTTGGCAATGTGATATAGGACTTTCTCATTATAGTATTTTATGGGTAAATTCGGAAATCGCACCCATAAAGCTGTGGTATCTTCTTCAGCCTCATCGGATTTAAAGTCTTGTTGCCATTTTCTGACCGTTGCATAGTGATCCATGACTATCCATGGCCTACCAGTATAGACTCTGGTATAGTCTTCAACCATGTCAAATTTAACGATAAATAATCCATTCCCAATGTCTAGGGCTTCAAAATTAGCTTGAAGGCCCCAAACACAGGTCATTTTTTCCATGAACATCTTGTAACCAATTTTGTTTCCCAACAATCTGACAATCAGGCATTTTTTCCAAGGTTCCCTAATTTTTCGCAAAAGGGCTATTGGGACCTTAACCCTGGGAACTCCTTCTACTGTATCATCAAGAACTTTTTCCTCCTCTGCAAGGTCATGTTCGGCTTCTTCTTCATCAGATGATATATCCTCCACATCGTAATCAAATTTTTTTTCATTCTCATTCTCAATAAATCTAGATCTGAGGAGTGCTTGCTTGAAGGATTTTGCTTGATCTGATTTGCCTTTGTGATCAGCATTCAAGTCGCTACCATTAAACATAGTGACTCATGTTTCAGATATTGAAACATCAGTGGGAGCTGGGTGTGAGAAACCCTACGGATGTGCTCCCTCTACCGATTGATGGTCTTCCATAGTTTCATCAACTATCTCTGAGGTACTTTTAATTTTCTTAATGCTTCGAACAAGATGGTCTTCTTCCTCAGTTGAGCATCCATGGGCGAGTTTCACCTCACTAGCAGCGAGAGCTTCTGTAACGGTCATTTTCTAGAGAGAGAAAAATTCTCTTCCAAAACTACTCTCAAAATACACAACCAAACAAACACAAAAAAAAAATTTCTAAACTTTCTCCCCAAAACAATTTTTAAAAACTACTCTCCCAAAACCAAACCAAACATACCCTTATTGTCAACAAAATGTCATTAGTCTACTTGAAGAAAAGTTTGTTTTTATCCAAATTTGCAAGCCAATTTTTGTTGTTTGGATATTCACTTTGATATTTAAATCAAAACCAATAGCATATGATTTCATCATGCTCAAATATTCTAGACACCATTGACATTAGCTCTGTGATGAAAACTCGTATATTAAATTAAGAGATCAAAAGTTCTCATTGTACCCACAAACAAAAATTAAAAATAAAAAAAAAATATATTCCTAGACAGCTACTTAAAAAAAAGATAGGTCTTATAGAACATAGTTGACCACATTGTTTCTCTTAAATTAAATGTTCCAATGAAAATTGTGTGTGTTAATTTCCGACCACACTGCCAAACAGGTACGCAGCTGGAGAGCATTGGCAGAATAGATTTAGCCCGAACGACCTGTCAACAAAAAGAATAGATTCTGGCGGTGGTTCGTCCACCCGGCGGCACTACGACGATCAAGTCAGTTATCTCTCAAAGATAGCAAAAGTGCTTAACTCACCATTCAGAATACAAAAAGCGTACCTTAGACCCACGATGATGCCTCTCTTTTATAACCAACACTGACCTAATCCTAATAGAAGCCTAACTTCAATGGTCTCTGGATTATTGCTAATCTTGGACTCCCAGTAGGATTGGAATAAACTCTCTAAGAGTCTTATCTTTATCCAAACTGAAGTTCTCGCTTATTCTAGGACTCTTGTCCTTTATCCGCTTATCCCGAATTCCAGTATCTTCGCAGATAACCTCGGCCTATCCGAGATCATCTCGGTGTCATGACCAGGACACGTGGCACTTCGGCTGGCACTTCGGTGCCACCTCAGCCACGTGTTGTCACTCAAAAATTATGTCCCCACAACTGCCCCCTAGGTTCTATTACCTCGGCATCCTGAGGTGATGGAACCTATATCATTTCTTCTACTTAGCATGTCAGCTAAGCTAGCTTTATCTTTGATTACCAAGGTCATCATTTGTTGGCTCCATA